AATTCATAAATTAAACAATCCCTTACGTCCAATAGTTAGTCAAATAGATTCGCCCACTTATAAACTAGCAAAACACTTATCCAGAACACTTGCCCCCCTCAGGGGAAATACAAATGCTCACGTCAGGGATTCGTATCAGTTTGTAGAAACTATTAAAGGTCTAAAGGTAGCGGACAATGAGGTTATGGTAAGCTTTGACATCACATCACTCTTTACAAACTTACCTATAGCTGATTGTATCAAAATTATTAAGAGCAAACTTATTAAACACAACATGCCTATAGAATATGCGGATATCTTAGAACATTGCTTGACAACCGGGTACCTACTTTGGAATGGGGATTTCTATGTTCAGGTAGATGGGGTAGCCATGGGTTCTCCAGTTTCACCCTTAGTTGCTGACATTTTTATGGAAGACTTTGAGGAGAGAGCCCTTGCTTCTTCCCCGGTTAAACCTAAGCTTTACAAGCGATACGTAGATGATACCTTCACCATCTTACCCAAAGCACAAGTATCTGCATTTCTTACACACCTTAACTCAATTCACAATAACATTAAGTTTACAATGGAACAGGAGGACAATAACACACTACCTTTCTTAGACATTTTAGTAATTCGTGATGAACACGGTAATATTGGGCATACCGTCTTTAGAAAAACAACCCATACAGATAGGTATTTGAACGGTGACTCACATCACCACCCCAGCCAACTTAGTTCTGTCGGAGTATCTTTGTTTCAGAGAGCCCGCCGTCTCTGTGATGCTGCCCACTTAAATGAGGAGTTACAGCATGTCAAGCAGGTCCTATGCAAGAACAAGCTGAGAGTCCCTCCGCAGCATCCCAGGAACAGGAACAAGCCACCCACAGTCAAACGTCAGCCCGCCTACCTACCATATGTGAAGGGAGTTACAGATAGAATTAGCAGAGTCCTAAATCGAGCTTCTATTGACACAATTTTCAAGCCGCACAAGAAGATTCAGCAATTCCTGAAACCAAGCAAGTGTACTATCCCTTTACAAGATGCAGGCGTTTACAGACTGGATTGTGATTGTGGCCTATCCTACATCGGCCAAACAAAGCGTAGCATCTCAAACAGAATTAAAGAACACGTCGCGGATATAAAACATAAACGTCTCTCCAAATCTGCGGTATGCCAACACTCATCAGAAGGGCCCAATCACTACATTCGCTTTGACCAACCAAAAATCCTCGCAAAGGAGAGTCGATTTTTTCCAAGATTGGTACGCGAAGCAATTGAAATCAAAAAACACCGAAATTTCAATAGGGAGGACGGCCTCAAACTATCAAACACCTGGGATCCCATATTAAAAACTCTGGATCCCAATAAACAGCATACCAGCAAACGCGAAGACACCGTTAGTCAATTCTGTAAGGACCCGGCCAGTTTCGCCAAATACCAACTTCGACGGAACAGATGGCGCTAGCGTAGCAATTCTTTACTTTGACGTCTGAGACATCCTCCATCTTTAGTCTCCCCGTGACCACGGCTGCTGCAAAGCATCCGAAACGTCGGGCCGAAGTTAAAAATCATTTTCAAATAAGTTTAACTAATATATCGCGTTTTAAACCGTTAAAGTGTTTTATTTAAATGTGTACTACTCGCGTAAACTATAGACAGTATTTAAACTATCTTATTTCACTAATAAATAAATATATCTAATAACGTAGAAAATAAATACAATATTTTGCTTCTTGTGACATTAATATATTCAAAGATTTTGTGTTATACGAAAAAGTTCACTCGGAAAACTAATCTTAAATTCAATTCAAGACCAATCCAAATACGGCAGTTAAGGATATACTTTAATTTAAGTAAAAATGTTATTACATTTTATTTATGATATTATAAAAATACTTTGCATATCTTGTCTTATTCCAAAGAAAATACTAAAGCCATTTTCTTTCAATCTGTAGAATATATGACCAGCAACGATATTATAGATTGAAACCTAAAAAAAAATAATGTTTTAAACCAATTTAATTTTAAAGAAAAAAAAGATAATTATCTTATAGTTCAGATAAAAATATTTTGACGTGAATTAGCATCAAAACAACGTTAAGAGAATGTATTTTTATAGGTTAACAAGGAAAATTTATTAACTTTTAAAATATCTCAACCTTTCTTTACAATTAAATAATAACTGCATACATACACACTACATACAATAACTGCTAAATCACATTTCTTCTAAATACTCTGAATCACAACATATCTGAAATCTACACAAAATTCATAAGATTTACACAGTACAATAATATTTAACAATAAAAGTCTTAACGCTAGTAGTAAAACTTATTAAAATAACTTTGTGCTTTAATAAAACAATGACAAAATAGATGATAACACAACCTATATTGTTAATAATATTAAGTTATTGATATAATTTTGCAAGCTCTGTAAGACCGTTCGATCGAAAATTAAATATGTATACACCATTTTATTCTAGCGCTGAACTATCTTTTATTTAAAGAAGGAACTTAATTTTTTAAATTCTAAATTTTTCACGTGTACAGAAAATGAAATAGATATTTAAATTCTGTCTGTATTAAATTATATATTTTTTTAGACAGGAAATTTATTAGTTATACGGCTGCTGCAAAGCATCTGCAACGTAGGGCCGTAGTTAAAATAAGTTGTATTACATTTCGTGTTTTAAACCGTTAAATCGTTTAAATAAAACACTTAAACGGTTTAAAACGCGATATATTTTAGTTAAACTTGTTTGAAAAATATTTTTAACTACGTACCGACGTTTCGGATGCTCTGCAGCAGCCGTGGTCTCTCCATTACCAAGCATCCGAAACGTTGGGCCGTAGTTAAAATGATATCAAATCAAATAACTTTAACTAATATATAACGCGTTTTAAACACAAGTAGTACACAAACTACAGACAATACGTTAAATTTTTATATTAAAATCAACGTTTGTTTAAAAAGGAAATTAATTTTTGTTCAGTCAAAGTAGTGAATACAAGTAAATAAACATAATTTCGAAGGAAGTAAACATCTCAGAGTTATTTATGGCGAAATGATAAGCCGAATTCGCCTACTACTCGTACTATCGCACTTCACTGCGCAAACACAAAATTAATTGAATTTCAACTACACAGTTATTTACTTAAGACGGGGTCACTGGGAAAACCTACTTAAGTGAAAACTAATAGACAATTTATTACTAAGAAATTTAAATAAAATAGATAAATTAAGCATTAAATTTAATCTGACTAAAAGAGAAAAATTAAATATGTAGTTTAAAAGTATTTTAATTTAAAAATTTAAATACTTTTAAATTAATCCTAATCATTTGTTCACTTAATAGACTTATAAGCGTTAAGCCTCCATTTTCAAAATAACGGAAGTTGCAAATAACGATGCTACAGTAACGAGAATAGTCTTTGGCATCGTCGGTACTCGTTATCGTTAACGATACTGAGTTTCGTCACACATACCACCAATACCGTCCTTATAGACATGGTACTTTCTCTACTTTATTGTTCGAGAAATAAGAAGAAAATAAATACAAATATATTTTACAAAGGCGAAAGTAAAGTGTAGATAACCGTAAAGCTGATACACAACTTAAAACAGAAAAGCCGGGTTCCCACTATACCGGACCAGTAGATTTGACGGAAACCGGGCACAGAAAAAAAAAATATGACCATATCTCAAAAAAAATCAGATACCTCAGTAAAATTTTGAACTTTGCATAGGACCTCCTTGCAACACGTCTTCTTTTATCAGAAAGCGCCACTAATGACGTGAGGGGGGAGGGAGGGGATATAATGTAAACAGCTTCATATGTAATCTTTAGCCACTAGCTCTACCGACATAGTGCAACTAATACTTAGATTACTTCTTCGGAAAATAATATTTAAGATAAGTACAATATGTTTGTCTCATGTATAAATGAGAATATGAATGAGACAAAAACTTTTTAGTCCATAACCTATAATCATTTATTTAATCATCACAATTATTAATTTACAATTTTATTTAATGTACATTTTAAAATCTACTCGAACCCGAAACGCGACTGGCAGTGCATAAGGATTTCTACCGTGCATGTAATAAGAAAATTAATATACATTAAATCCTTGTTTTAAACTCGTTATTTATTTATAATTTCCAGAAATTTCTTTAAATCCCTTAAATTCGTGTCAAAATGATATTTTCCTAATTTGTTTACAAGAGACACGAATCTTGTCTTGTCACCTTAACTTTTTACGATTGAGTTAAGCAAAATGGATATACTTAATTTGATTTATATGTTTTTAATTTCAAGAAAGAGTAGATTTCCATTTCTGTTCTTTCCAAAAGTCTTGACTAACTACATATGAAACATCGCATAGGTCATTCTAATGACAAGATTCTTGTCTTTTTTACATAGGAAATGCTTTTACCAATGTTTTTGATTAGCATATATATAGTTAGTGTGCAGTATATTAATAAATATAAAATGTATCACTTTGTATTAATTTTAGAAGTAACTGAATAAATAGAACGTTTTCTATTAAGAACCACTTACCAATACTAATATTCATAAGCGTATTCAGATATTTCGTAAAAGTAGTCGAAAAATAACCGCACTCTCTCCTGGTTTTTTTCACACCTGGGCACGTTTCAAAAAGCGCACCTGTAATAAATTTAACAACATTTTTCCATTTATTTATTTAGCTCAACGTGGCGTAATCATTTTCAGATCTAAACAACTTAATGCGTTATTATCTATAGTTTATACTAATAGTTTACATTTAAATAAAACACTTTTAACGGTTTCAAACGGTTCTTATTTACAATTCCTTTAAAGTTAACTAATATATTTCGCGTATTAAACAGTTAAAAGTGTTTTATTCAAACATAATTCTGTAGTCTCCGCTTACGAAAATATAAACAGTATAACCACCGATTCATAGTTTGTAATTAACAGTTTTGATTGCAATAATAAATCAAAGCATACACACCCGGGCAATCAACCGTTAGAATTGACTCTGGGTGGGTGTCCCATCAAAGGACTCTTCATTAATGAGCCTCAGTTTCACAGACTCACGCCTCAGATTGTAGCTCGTTGAAATGTGGCAATGTTTCACGTCCACCGTCAATAGGTCCTCATTCAATTCGACCCCGCTCTTCTCGACGTCCGCTGCAGCACTCGGCTTCCTTTTATGTCTGAACGAGGTGCTCCTCTGAGAACTCGAGCCCATAAAGCTATCTGTCGCCGTGTTACCATTGAACGTCTTCTCCGACTGGCAAACACCTAGCTGCTGCAGCGGTATATTCCCACGAAGCTGCGCCGACGTATCTATACACGGAATCAATTGCTTGAATTCCTTTCGAAAGTTCTCGTTCATCCACGCGTAGATGAACGGGTTGTAGCACGTGGATGACATTGCGATCACGTGACATACGAAGAATATCAAGAAGTAGAACCTCGAATGGATAGCGTATATGTAATAGTCGTTATAGAGATTGATCACGTTCAGAGGAAGCCAGGAGAGACCGAATATTGTGACCATCGCGATTAGCATCTGATTGGTGCGTCGTTTCCTGTTCTTATCGAACTCCTCCTTTCTGGTATTCTTGCTGGCCGCTTTCGCTTTGGCCCTGTCGTTCAATTTGAAGCTGACGCACGTGTAGCAGAAGGCGATCACCGCAAACGGTAAGACGAATTGAAGGACAGAGGTCACTGAGCCGAAGATACGTCGCAGGTCCTCAGACGGCCACGTCTCCTCGCAGAATCTACCTATATCTAAATCGTAGTACGTCATGTATATCGCGTAGGGAAGAGTCACTGTAACTGAGAACGTCCATATCATAATAATGACTGTGATGCAAGTCTCTATTTTCATCCGCGGCCGAAAAGGGTATATGATTACAAAAAACCTATCAATAGCTATTGACATAAGAGTTAGAGTCGATATGTATACACTGCAACCCTGTGCGGAAGGCATCATGTGGCAAAGAAGGGAACCCCAGCTCCAGGAACCGCGAAAGGAATAGAGCGGAGTGAAAGGGACGGCGAATAAACAAAGGAGGATGTCGGAGAGAGCCAGATTAGTGATGAACAAGTTGGTGACGGTCTGCATGGCTCTGTTCCGTATCACCACGAAGCAGACCAATATGTTCCCAAGTAGACCCAACACGAATATAACAGTGTAAATGATGCAGAAAACTGTCTGGACCCATTTGTTGTCGATAATGTTTTCGTATCCGTGAATTTGGTGGGTCGGCGTAACTTGGCTGTCGTTCCGAAATTTTTCCGTAACATTGAGTGCAGTGTAGTTTAGTGTCCCGTTCATTATAGGTAATTCCCCGAATAAAACTTGTTCGGGAGCTGTCAACTTTACGAGCGATGTTTACGGTCAGACCTGTAACAGAATATAATGTTTTAACGTTCCGCGTTGCCACAGTATAAAAGGTATTATCGCGAAAAATAGGGCTACCTTGGAACAAATAGCTCTAGTATGTGACGACGCTGGTCTATTTTATTAGAATTATGTTATATGAAGTTGCCAATTCAGTTATGTACCTTTAATTACAAATTTAACCTTATTCTTGTTTTATATCTGTATGCTACTCTCAAATTTGTATTTATTAATGTGCATTGATTATTAAGGCACGGATATTTAAAGTTCAGGTATGAATATCAACATATCTGTATAACTACTGTTTAAGTTATATTTACTAAGTACATTCTCATTAAAAGTGTTTTAAAAAGTACAGTAATTTTGACGGAAATCAAACCTCTACACATAGATATATAAAATACCATCACAATACCATAAAGTTATGTTTGGGTCTGGGCTCTGCATATACCTTTTTCTACTCTGCTCTTTTAAAGCAAAATATTATACATCACTTATTTCATAACGTAATTATATATTGGAACAAACTCGGAGCTATAAATTAGAACTAGTGTCAATGTGAATACTGGAATTTCCTGCAAACACGAACAATACGCTGTACTAACAAGTTCATCTTTTGTATTTGACACTGTTTGTTCGGCAAAGTAGAGCGACAGTTCACCAACTTCGACCTAGCCGGCTATTCAGCTTATGAAAATAATAAAAGCAAATTTGTTTTTCCCAACTCCGCTATCCTTCTTTTGTAGATTTCAAAATTGACAGAAGTTTCGACGAAGATTTGATTGCTTTTTTAATGGCTTCACCTCTGTCGTGTAAAGTTTTTCCTCTTATTTAATCAGAACTTCCGAAATTATTTGCGTCAATACTGGGAGTGTTTACGAAAATATTTATACAAACACTTAAAAGGTATCAAGTTATATCTAGTTCGATCGAATGGTAGTTATTTAATATATTATATTGAATTATAGAGAGACTGAAGCGCCACCATTAAATACACATTAAATACTTAATTTGTCATCTCATATATTTTACTGAATATTATCGAGCTACTTAATTATTCATAGTTACATTAATTTTGTTTACAAATAACGTAATTATACAAAAAAACGGAACAATGGATCGTATTGACTGTCAAAAAAGTCCAAGATAACAGCTATAGTAGTTTGTGTCTTATTCTCTATGGATGTTGCATTAACCTTACTTTAATTTTAATTTTACCAATCAATAAACATATATATATAATACAAACCCAACAGATATTTGTACGTAAGTACAAAATAAATGACATTCTTGAAATATATTTTATAAATGAAATTCATATTATCTCAAATATGACCACTATATTTTAGACAAGCTTTCTCCACCGCTACGTAAAGCTAACCTATACTCCTTGAATTTTCATCGTATTAAGAATACAGTTTTAATAAATAACAGGGAATTTCTCGTAGAAAATATTATAAGCTCCCAACTTACATATGTGGGTGTTTATTTATTTATTATTTATTTATTTATTTATTTATTAAGGAAACTAAACAGTACAGTCTCTTATGATAACTTAAAACTAATTTTCTTATTGTCTAGGGAAAAATAAAATTGTATAAAAATCCAAATGCATGCAGGCATGTACTCAGAGACAGTACCTTAACAAGTTTCTCTGAGAACATTTGATTTAGAAATATGAAAAAGCTTTTAAGGCAAGAAACAGTGTGACAAATGACAAAAACGGTATTCTTTAATACTTAGATATGTGTGATATCTTTACAGGTTAGGTACTTTTTTAACTTATATTTATACGTTAATTGCGAGCACGAAAACAAGTCAACATCATTCAACGCGTTATTATGCAATGAAGCCATATTGTGGAGCGGGGCACGTTTACCAGTGTTACATCTAGTCGTTGGTACATAGAATAAGTTTTTGGTACGCGTAGATCGAGCGGGGATGTGGAAGTAAATCTGTTGAAGTAAATCGGGACAATCTATTTCGGCACAACATATCTTTCTTAATGTTGTTAAAAGATGAAACTCACGGCGTTGACTCAGGGAAAGGAAGTTAAAACGTGCCATCAGATCTTTATAGTGACAACGATGTCCTAATAAGCGATAGCTTAACATACGAAGGAATTTCTTTTGCACCATCTCAATTTTATTTTTGTATATGTCGTAAAAGGGATTCCAGATAACGCAAGCATACTCTAATCGGGAGAGTACTAACGCTTTATAAAGGCATAAATAAGCATCCTTGGTTTTGAAGTTCTTCGAATTTCGAGTAATGAAGCCTAACATACGGTACGAATTATTTAGAGTGTGTTCAATGTGCTTATCTAGAATCAATTTTGTGTCAAAATATACGCCGAGATCGCAAACACAGGTCACGGGCTCGACTTTATGATCATTTAAGTAAAAGTTGGTTGGGATTATATTAACATTTCTTGTATAGGTCATATGTTTACATTTCTCATAAGCTAGCGAAAGTGGAACAAGACGAAGGGTTGTACACCGCGTAATACCGAACTATTAATGCTGGCTTTGCTCAATATTTATTATCTGCACGTAGAAATTAAACAATTTCTCATAGTAAAACTACTAAATTCGCATATAAAGGAGGTTGCATATAAATTTGAACATACTCTGTGACATTTGTGTATATTCAAGTAACTTCGTTAATTACACTAGCGTTTGCTGGAATAAATTAAATATCTATACTAATATATAAAGCTGAAGAGTTTGTTTGTTCGTTTGAACGTGTTAATCTCAGGAACTACGGGTTCCAAAGGAAATTCTTTGGTGTTGGTTAGAGCATTTATGGAGGAAGGCTATAAAGCATTGCGTTATGACTAAAAGATGCGAAGATACAGTGGCATATGTGAACAAAGCTGGGGAAATTTTTCATCGCTGTGCGTTTCAGGTGCGTACGCTGCGAAATACTCAAAAAATATATATGAGAGAATGATTCCTCTTTAAATGATCTAAAAAAAATCCAGGACGCTATATCTATCTTTAAACATTAACTTGTAATAACGACGTCGTGGGTAACGGCTTAAGTTTACAAAGATGAAGGTGTTTGCAAAAACGAATTTGAATGCCCAAAATAAATATTCTTAGCGGACGAAGTCGCTGGCACAGCAAGTTAAATATGCAACCTTTATACTGACAACGTAAGTAAAATTTAGTTTTGTTCTTATGCTGGTTTAAATACATTTTTGGAATAAAACTTGAATTCTTTTAGCTTTTACATGTTGCATAATTTTATGTTAAAGCTTTGTGAACACTAATGATATATGTCAAAGCGAAGAAAAAAAACTTTATGTTGTGAAGCCCGTTGTAGACATATTATTATGTAAATTGTAAGGAAAGAACCAGATGGGGGTTAACATTATATTTAGTAATATATTTTTACACACAAAAAAGTTCAGTCGAGTTTTTTATTATTTTTTTTATATAGGGGAGGACAGACAAGATAGGGTTTACTTAATGGGAGGTGAAAGACTCCAGCCATATTTTCATCTGCGGATGGTGATTTAATAAAACGAAATATTAGATATTATTACGTTTTAGTAAATCACCATAGAATTAAATTTCTAAATAATACAAAAATTTGGAAAACTGTTTCAGATAAAAGATGTTAGAACACGTTTCTGGAAAAACCCACGACCCGTTGATTATAAGCCATACATTGCTACCATCGGACCAAAGGGCCCGACAAATTTTCGATACTTTTTGCTTTTTTACGAAAAGACATTGTAGAATAATTTTCAAGAGCATAAAACGATAATTATCTAATAATATGCATATACATATAATTTAAAATAACTACTATTTAGTAAGTATATTATTTCTTTTCTTGGAAAATACCAACAAGCTACAAAGAAATTGCTACGTCAAAAATATTTCCGCCTAATTTATTGGAAATAGTTTGGCGTGTCGCTTTTCCTGACTCATGTAATTATTTCGCCGTGGAATGGAAAATTGTTGATTATTGTTACCAGTGCTAAGGTCGCTATTCGAATAACATTTATTCGTGGAATATTTTTTCATGGAAATCAAATATTATTCGTCTACCGTCCATTGTCACGGAACACGTCGCAAAATATCACGTCTGTATGTAAATACAAAACCGTAAGATGCGATAAGCCCCATTTACGCTCCACTGAACCATTTTGCAATTGTGGCTGGGGACTTACGTGGGGAAAATATTGAATTATTTCATGCCGAGATAGCGATAAATGTTACCATTAATAGCTACAAATATATAAGGCTATTTTTATTACACTTCAAATAGACACATCCCGATTGATCTACAACTATACATAGCATCTGGTATTTCATCTCCCATCAATGGAATCCAATGCTTATTTGAATACCTCTCTATGTTTTGTCATTAAAAATTGTGCTTCATCATTAAAAATGTTTTTTTTTTTTCAAAGAATAGGATATGTTTTAGATGAAAAAGGAAACGTTTTTCCATGTAAAATTAATTAACCAATAAAGGTAATTCCACGTAAAGCTTTTAACAGTATAAAATAAAATTGTTACATTGTAAGCTATGTTAACTTAGATTCTCTAGATTCGAGAATACATACCCTGGTAACATAGAAAATATCTTTGTGTAGATTGTGATTTGTGCTTTTCAGTAAAGAACTTTGTGAGGACACGGCATGTCAAGAAAATATAAAAATGCGACGATATGGCTCTCTTAGGCGGTCCTAGTTTCAGCTGTATAAACTATTAAATAACCATCTAATAGTTCCCACCAGATGAGATGTTTTTTCGTTGCTTCAACTTACAGCAACATTCACATAAAAAAACATAATACGAGAATAGATATGATTACCGCGAAAATAAAATAAAACTGTTTTTAATCCGATTTTTCTATTTTTTATTTGTTTGAAAAAGACTAATTAAATCCCTTTTAATTAGTGAGTGTTCTATTAA